CCAAAAGCATTAGACTCAAATATTATTGTTGGCCCATGATCTCTACTTTTAAAAATATTTGGCCCTTTAAACAAATTACTTAAAAACCATGGGGGATATATTTTCTGGTATATATACACAAACACCTAAAATGTTATCATATGTTTATCAGTATATTATACTTCAAGTGTTGCAGTAGAGATTAGTAATTCGGCAAGCATTCTATTAAGATATTACCACTGATTTGTCAAATAATAAGTGGGGCATACTTAGGGGTGGTCTTAGTTGAAATCTTCTCAAGTTGGCCAATAATTTCTTGAGTTGATTTAGTCAGTTTGTTACTATTTTTTTTTTTTTAAGTTTTGAATCAAACTTACTATCCACTTGGCACTACAATTGGTTTTTAGTTTTTAATTTTTTCCTCTCTCTTTCCTCTATAGCCTTCACCCTCATAAATGTGATGTAAGTCTGGATATACTCATGGCTCATTTAAATTTTACAGAGCTGATTATGACCATAACTGTACAGAATTGATATGTTCCCCATACAGTAGCTCATTACCATCCATTTCATATTTCAAACTTCTGCTGTGTAAAAAAATATATACTATATGTAGTAACATTTTTTTAGCTCCAATGAGGAGTTCTAGAAATAACCCTGCTGATTGTGTGCTTTTTTGCTGATTGGGTGTTCTTTTTTCACGGCTGAGTGGGTTTCAGCAAAGACTGTACATTACTGCCATTACCATATACACGTCGAATGGATGGCGCAGTCGGTTTAACCGTGCCATCCATGCAACGGTTCCATTCGATTGGTTCTGAGGAACCAAAGGCCATGAGTTCGAATGACGTCTTGCATTCTTTTTTTTTTCAATTTTAAGACATTTTATTTTTTAAATTTAAAGACATTTTAATTTTGTACAAATTATTTAATCTAATTATGAAAAATTTTCTCTTATTATGAGTAGCTCTAGAAGTACTCGGCTCATTGATTAATTAATTAATTCCTGATGATGATCTGATAAAAAATCGAAATATTAAATCACAATGACGAGTTTTACTTTATCTTGAGTAAGTTTTTTACTAAAGTTATTATTAACTATTAGGGCACGTCATATAGATGGTGCGGTCGGTTAATGATGTGTTCTATTGAACCAAAGGACGTGAGTTCGAATCCCGTCTTGGTCAATTTTTTTCCCCCAATTTCAAGACACTTTTTTTTCCATTTTAAGACATTTTAATTTTGTACAAGTGAATATTCTAATTTTAAAATTTCTATCTTATTAGCTCTTCTAATTTTTTTTTGCCAAACAGCTATCAAATATCAACACTTGCTGAAAACAAAATATAATATTAATAACTTGCGCCACTGTGTACAGTATTTAAGCATGGAGGATATTTCCTCCATGATTTAAGCATGTTTTAATATAGTCTACTGCCTCTATTATACTGCCCTCATCGGAGCTTTCGAGATTACGGGAACTTGTTAATCCTTAAAAAGAATCATATGATAATGATTGATTTACTTATTTAGAATAATCCCATGAGTTATAAACTTGCAATGACCCTTGAAATGACACTAATCAGTTTTGTCTTTTTTAATGCAAAAATTGATTTACCAACCAATGAGTTTATGCAACGAATATACAAATTGTATTTGTAATTCTTTTATTATGTAGGATGAATAATAATTCTACATTGTATGAATTTCAAATATTTATTATTATATTTACTACCTGAACACTACATAAAGCATTTCATGAATTCCTACTTTACGTATTTCCGAGTGGTAAAGAATTGACTAGGAATTCCTTTTGACATATAAAATATATACTCAGTTCACAATGTTGTAACACAACTTTCAAATAAACCTTTATTCTGTATAAACTCCAACAAGAATCCAGTTTCAAAATTACACAACAACATTCACATTTACATGTGTTTCAAAAAGAGCCCCAGAAAGATAAAACTATCAGCTTATATAACCCTAGCTCCTCCAGAGCATTCCTAGCACAACTCAAGAGCATTCTATATTGCCTAAGTTCCACATTGGTCACCTTACATCATATTTAACCAATAGGCTTATTGCCTCTACTTCAGAACCTAGAACCTTCCACATGTTCTCTTATGTTCCTTTAATTACCAGTTTTACACTGTTTGGTCACATAAATGTAATTCTAGAATGTTCTATGTATTAAATATGTTACAATAAGGAGAGGAATGGTAATTTATTACAAGCGGGATTTCATGTTTCATGTTCAATTCAATTCAAAAATAACATTTATTTCCTTCAAAACGTGAATTACAACATTCATTGAAATGTAACAAATGAATAACATTAGTATTGAAGGGGGCACAATTCCGAAAAGCGGAGCTTGTGATGGATTTGCCCAAGACAATTAACAACACATTAACGAGAAAAAAAAAAGACGAATATTTTAAATGATAATAATAATAATAATAGAGCATTTCAATATATAGATGAAAAATTATCCAAAAAATACATACATAATTGGAATTATAAGGGAAAAAACTAAGCTACTGTTAATTTGTTTACAACCTTTTTTTTCTTGTTTAATACTTTTAGTTTTGAATCCTATACATGGTTGCACCAATCTGCTTCCTGGTTCGTCTAACTGGTGGGAAAATTGCCTATTTATAACACTTTTTAAACCATTAAACTGTAAGAAATTAATTTCAATATCATAATTTTCTTGCAAAGCATGTAGATTGGAAAAGTTACCATTTTTATCTAGAATGTAATTAAAGGTTAAAGGTTATTCATTTATATTGCACAAAATACGAGAGTCTCTTTGCGCAGAACAGGTGAGCAGATGTAACTGGAAAATTTTAAAAAAAAGAAAATCCAAGCCAGCACCCAAACCGCAGTATGGGGATACGCCCTCAACGCTGAGTAGGGATCTATCAAAATGTACCCTGTCCAGCACCAGTTGAGTCTCGGCCATCCCAGGACTCAGGCGCCTCCTATTCTGATAGAACTACAAAAAAGCTAGCTGGTAAGGAATGGAAAAGGGGAAATCAAACTTGATTCCATTGTTATCCCACTTCTTGAAAAAAATACACTAATCATCAATTTTAATCAATTCATTATGCCAAATACTGGATCTAAACACTCCTTTATTTTTTGGAACATATAATATTGTAAATTATTTCCATGCTTTAAGACATCTTTCCAAAAATCATTTTTTATTTTGTCAATAATGATATTCCAATATTTATTTGAAGAGTATTCAAAATTACATTCGGGAACAGACATCTTAAAAAGATTATATAACTTATTATTCTGGTCATATTTTATAAGTCACCAAATCCATGTTGTTTTTAGAGCTTTTGCGGATAAATTAAACTGGATTAATGTTAACTCCTCCCTTATCACTTGGAAGCACCATTTGGTTTTTGCTAATCCTGTCTAATTTGCTTTCCCAAACAAAATGGTGAGAAAACATTTTGACCAATGATGTATCAGTTTTGTAATTGCCTGCATTGGGCTGGTATAGTTAACATTCACAATATTTTCCAAATTAGTACATAAGATAACACCTAAGTAAGAAAACGTTTGAAGTCCAACCCACTCAATCTTATTGCTGCCTTTCAAAGAGCCTATCCAGACAGCTTTTGTTTTATCAATGTTAATTTTAAGACCCAAAACTTTTGAAAAATTTTCAAAACACAGGAGAGTTTCGGCTAAAGATGTTTCTGTGCCATCAAGTATAATAGTGGTGTCGTCAGCATAATGTAAAAGTTTAAAATTTACCTCAGTTAACCTTAATCCTTTTATTTTTTATTATTATTTATTGCAATATTTAAGATCTGAGAACATAAGAGAAATATACGGAGATAGCCCATTACCCTGTCGGCATCCGGAGTTAATTTCAAAAAAATTTGTTATGTGCCCATTTACAAGTACTGCAGATTGAATTTAATTGTAGAATATTGAAATCCACTTTTTGAAACTGTCACCAAAATTAAATAAATTAAGCGTTTCAAAAATGAATGTATGTGAGACCGAATCAAAAGCTTTTTTGAAATCGATTAGAAGCAGTAAGCCGGGGATGTTATGTAATTCTGTATAGCTCATAATATCATAAATGTGTCTTATATTTTCGCCGATAAATCTACCCGACATGAAGCCAGACTGATCGGTACTAATTAAATTAGGTAAAACACTCTTCAACCTTTCAGCTATGGCGGATGATGTAATTTTGTAGGTGACATTCAATAGGGAGATTGGACACCAATTTTTAATGAATTCTCTAGGTTTTTGTCTTTTAGGAAGTAATGTAATTATTCCCCTTCTTTGTGTAAGAGAGAGGAAACCACTCTCATAAGCTTTATTTAAGGATCTCAATAAGTATTTCCCCCGTCGGGGGAGCATATCCCCCTCCCGTCGGGGAAGACAATAATTTTTGTCAGGGAACAAATAAAAAAAAATATTTACATTCAATATTCGTTTAGCCACCATATCGTTTGTGTTAACTTTTGTGTAACAACAACCACAATAAGAATAACAATAACAATAATAACAATAATAATAATAATAATAATAATAATAGTAATAATAATAATAATAATGATAATAATAATAATAATTGAATGAGACAAATTAAAAATAATTTGCGTTCTGTTATGACATATGCTCATTTAGATAGCCTCATGATGGTTGGAATACATCGTGATAGGTGAAGCAACCTCGACCATGACAACATGGTTGACAGATTTCATGCAAAATTTCCAAAATATAGAATTTCACTTTCAAGAATGAGGATTTGAAAATAAATTTTCATTACAAGTTACATTGCATATTCTTTGTTTCTTGCTTTATTAAAAATGTTTTGGTATGGGAAGCTGATATAACCATTAGAAAGCATAGCCTACATGAAGTCATATTATAGTAACTCGATGCCTATTAAATAAGTAAATAAAAATTTGCCATAATTCATCAAATATCCGTGGTTATCCCCTGGACCCCCACCGGGGCCCTAGGCGGCCCCCCTGGCCCCCAGCCAAGTGAGAGTCGATTCGCTCCACCCAATTTTGATTCACAACCCATCGAACCCATAGAATCAATGTGCACTATCGTCTAATGACTAGGATTATTCAAAAATGAGTAAACGCCAGTTCAGGAAGAGATGTGTAGACATCAAGTTGAATCTTTGATTTTTTCTTGGTTGATTTTGAGAAAAAAATATTTCAATATCATAATTGTAGTCCTTTGCTACTTATTTTTTGTAGAATTCTTTTGAATGTCCTTCACATTCTCATCCACTTTTTCAAAGATTTCTTTATATTTTTCTGTCTTGAAAGCTATATTGCCCTCACCAGTACTACTTCCTCGGCCACAGGTAATGAAAAATGATGATCCTTTCTGTCTGTATGATCGAATTTTTTTATAGCGCCAATAGTGGCACAGTGTACCATCAAGACGACATAATTCGAGGAAATCATAATGAACGATTAGTTTGTATTCACCTTCGAGACTGAAACGTCTTGCGATATCATCTTCTTGAGACACCTCCACATAAAAAGTATCTATGTATTGTACTAGAATTTGATCAATTATACTAGCATTTTCAAAGCAGTCAAAGACGATTTTGCCTGCGCCCATAGGAGATTTTTCACAACAGGTGAATTCTATTGTTTGTCCTGACAGTGTGTGATTCTTGATGTACTTGTAAAACCACTCCTCTGTCTTTACATATGAATTGTCAAGTAACAATTTGTCACTACATAAAATCAGCGTACTTTCTCCATTAACAGAACTCCAGAGAAATGTGTTTTCACGTACGAGCACACTGAATCGGAGATCTTGATCTGGGCATGATGCTTTCACAGGGTTTTCTGAAGACTTTTTGTCTGTGTGTACACTTGTAGTTGGGGCTTTGCTGGGATCCATGCACATATAATGTGAAGGTGGTTTGTTTTGATCTAGTGGATGAAATATGTGCTTGGTGTGCTCTAGTTTTTTTTTCATGGTGGTATTGTCGGGCGCTTTAATGCTTCTGTGATCAGCATCATCAGGCGCTTTATCAGGATTATCATGTTTTTTTAATTCACTGAAAACCACTCGGTCCGAGGCATCAGTGTCCATCCCCCAACTTCGGCGAATTTTCACTTCCCGATTTCCAAATTTTCTCTCGGTTATGTAAGCAAACATGAAGTTGCTGGAGCTTGTGGTAAGGACCACCTCCTGTCTGTCACTACCTCTGCCGCATTGGAAGCCCACGGATTCCCCTTCACTGTACATGGATGTAATGTTTTTGTACAGCAGTTTTAGTAATCTTTTCCCTGTCATATGATCCGTTAACACCAACTCTTTCTCTTGTAGGTCCACTTTAGTGCACTCCTCCTTGCCATGGTTGAAGGAATCCCTGAACTTTACATGATACAAAGTTAGGCCTGAAATATAAATGAGTTAAAAAGCTTTTAAGCTACTGTAAATCAAAAAAAGAATTGGAAAACTATCCGTAGTGAAATAATTCCTAAAAAAAAACCCCAATATTGAAACAGTTTACAAATATTGTGAACTTTCAAGCAGTGATGAGGAAACTGCAAATGAATTTAATAAACATTTCACTTCTATTGGAAATTCTTCAGCTAACCACTTTTGTATAATATCTACTAACACAATACTAATAATTATCAACCAAATTATAATAATGAGGTGTTAAGTTTTAACCTTATTGAACCTGTCTATGTTTTAGATGAAATCTATACATTTTCTAACAATAAGGCAACTGATCTTGATGGTTTAGATACCAAATTATTAAAACTTGCAGCCCCAGTTATTTGTGACTCGCTACTCCCATATTTTCAATTTATCACTGACAAGTTCTATATTCCCGATGGAAACGAGCAAGAATAACACCTTTTTTCAACGATGGGGACCGAGCAGATACAAATAATTATAGGCCTATTTCTGTATTGCCAATAATTAGCAAGATAATTGAAAGAGCTGTTTATGAATAACTATATGATTATCTAATTATAAATAATTTATTAAACAATGCTCAATCAGGTTTTCATAAGTTTCATTCAACTACAGCAACACTGATTGATGTTTCAGATTATATACTGAATTATTTTAATGAAGGCAAAGCCACTGCTGCAATATTTGTTGATTTAAAGAAAGTGTTTGACACGGTGAATCATCCATTTCTTATTTATAAATTACAACTTGGTCTTAATGGCTTTAAATTGGTTCAGATCATATTTAGATGAGAGATCTCAAACAATCTGATCCCATGAAAATAAATATTGGTATACCACAGGGATCTATTTTAGGACCTCTTCTTTTCACTATCTAAGTTGTGAACTCTCTACCTAATGTAGTCCAAGGCAAATGTGTCATGTATGCTGATGACACAACTATTCTATGTAGCTCCTCTAATCCCACTACACTTCAGAAAGATCTTCAATTAAATTTTATTATTGTAACCCAATGGTTCAATAATAATAAATTAACTTTAAATACACAAAAAAACAAAATTTATGATATTTGGAACTTCTCATTTCCTTCCTAGATTTTCGGATATCGTCCTTATATAATAACACAAATATTGAGAAGGTCATGTCTATGAAATATCTTGGTGTCATTTTTGATACTAACTTAACATGGGCCTTGCATATTGATAATATGTCTTTCAAAAAGAATTAGTGTGATTCGTCATGTCAAACAATACATTCCTTTTAAAAATAAAAATATGTTGTCAAATGCAAATGTAATGCCATTATTTGATTATTGTGATTGCATTTAATCCAACACAACCAATAATCACTTAAATGAACTTCAAATTCTTCAAAATAGGCTCGGAAGAATTCTTTTATCTGTTGACATTCATAATCCAATTCTTACAATCATGAATGATTTGGGATGGAAAAGATTGTTCGACAGATGGAATGAACATCTTCTATTATTAACTTTCAAATGTCTAAAATAAAAGGCCCCATTTTATTTATGTAATAAATTTATCTTTGACAACAATAATCACCCTCAATGTACTAGGAATAAGTTGAAATAACAACTTGATTGAACAAAAATGAAATCAGTTACAAGGCAAAAGGACATTTTGATATCGTGCAACTAAAGCATGGAACAGCCTTCCAAATGAAATTAAAATAATATTTAATGAACTTTCCCTACAGTCTAAAAATCATTTAAACAATATAATTTAACTCTATTTACTCTCTTCTAGACAAAATATTGAATCAAAATTTTTACTGATTTTCCTTTTTGTCTTTTCCTTTTTCAATTTTGTTGTTAGTTTTAAGCTATTTTGTTTTTGATGCAGTAGTTTTATATTTATGTAACTATTGTTTTTCTTTTACTCATTAGTTTTGTTTTAAGTTTAATTTCTTTTTTCATTTTTGTTCTCTTTTATTCTTTTTACTTGTGATCCACTTGTGATATCAATGCTACGTCACTGAAAGTGTTATCACACAAAAGACGGAAATAAATAAATAAAATAAATTATGGAAATTCATTAGAGCATGATAAAAGTGATATGAGGCAACAAATGTTTTTTTGAAAACCATTCACAAAAACGTATTGAAAGACAATTTGTCTACTCAAACCAATGGGTGTTGTGTTTATTGTTAGCTTGTTTTTCTTCTGATATTCTTGTTTGTATTGCTTTGGCTCTTTACTATCTCCACCTAGGAGTATAAGTGGGTACCTGGTAGCCAAGCACTCTAGCTCCTTATGGACTATGGTTCCTAGAGACCTGAGAATCTGTTCCAAATGGTGCTTTTTCCAAATGGTGGCCAGTAGTACTTATTTGAAAGTGCGTAAAAGTTTATTGCAGTAATTTGCTATATAAATGGAGGATTGTTAATAATAATAATAATAGATGGTTTTATAAAGCGCAAATAAACGAGATGTCTGTGCTCGACAATACTGTAGGTAGGAAGACAATGAAAAAAAGCACAATAAAAAGCAAAGTAAATAAAGAAATATACAATACAATAAATACCAAGGTAGCACCCAAACCGAAGTATGATGTGGCTACACCATCACCACCAACCCAAGATCAGTGTTTATGTATCCAGTTAGCATTAGGTCATCGCATCTCACAGCAACAAAAAGGGCTTTTTTTCTTTTTTCCCATTTCCCTATATTTTTTTTTTGCATAGTTACAGCAGGTTGTCATAATTACCATGAAATGTATTAAAACAATCTTCACCATTAACCATGGTAGATACTCTAAAAATCCACTGGCATTGCAGGGTCAAATTCTATGTTGCAAAAACTCTCAATTTCACCCTAACCAGTCACCATTGCTGTTTCCTTTCAGTCTGGCTAGAGTACAAATTCTCATTATTTAAATGAGAAAGAGCCATACGTTCTGTTCTACAAACCATGGGTTAGTTTCCCTTCCCATTCAGTTCCCTTTTAATAGTGTTTTACTCTCACTTCAAATTTCTGTATCTATTTAGGCCTGTATTACATACTCTACTAGTATTTAAACATTTTTAAGCACTCCTGGCCTGGCTACATTCTCACCTTGGTTTAGCACGCAGTCATCCATCTTGACGTTTATTCTTTCCATTCGAAATCTCTGAATAAGGAAATACATTTAATTTTTAAAAAGTACCTACAGTAATTAAAATTTGTATAGCGCCATATCTGCAAAATGTGCTCATGGTGCTGTCCCGAGTCAAAAGAGAAAGTAAGAAGAAAAGGGAATTAAAGTGGATGTTAAAAGAAATGGGAATTATTTTAAGTGGATGTTAAATAAATGTGTTTTAGATGGTTTTAATTGACATACTGTGCCAGTAGACAGAAATGTTTGACTATTGGGTCTTTCTGGCTCAAATCAACCACCATTCCCATGTGATCCCCCTTGGATTTTCCTGAAAAAAATTCTAAAAATACCTTGGCATATTAAAAGAATGCAAAATTTCAGCTTTAATTTCAAAGCGGTTTTTAAGTTATGTCCTTTTAAAATCTAGGTACCATGCCCCTTACTTTCATTCCGCTAACAGCATCTTTAACTTTGTACGGTTTTTACAAAGCTATATCTCCTGAAATAACGAAGATAAAAAGTTAAAAATTGCTACATAGACTGATATTTGGCCCCTCTTTCAAGAAATACCATTTGAATTTGGGTAGCATATTAGAATGTTATATACCCCCAAAAATCCCCAAAAGCATTGTGAGAAAATAGATTTTCGCTTTTTCGGAGGGCCGTATCTGATCATTCTTTAAAGTAGAAGTTCAAATTTAACATGTGATGAATATGCTTATACAGCTACTACATAAATAAAAGTTTGTGATGGGGTCCCTATCATCATTGTAAGTAGAAAGTTTAAATTTTGTTGCTTACTCCTTCAGTGTGAACTGATTTTTAAAAAATAAACAGATTTTAGTGTATTCTAAATACCAAGTTCAAATCACAAGTCAGTCAAAAATCAGTTCCAACATAAAAAAAAAAAAATGGTGTAATTAAGGAACAACTACTGACAGAAATTTCACTGTGTTAAAAAACAGATATTAGCATTAATAATATTAAAATTGTTGCAAAATTTGTGCTTTACCTGTAAACTGAGCTGAGCGTTTGGCTAATTCGTATGGTTCCTGCCTCTTCGATACCCGGCTCTTTATATTACAACAAATAAACGCTCAGCTCCTCAATAACCCTCTTAAGAGAGTTAGGCGAGTTAAGGACTATGTTTGTATCGGTCTGTATCCGTTTGATGTTTATTTAAGGGCGTGGCTAATTATTAGCCACTAGTCGAAACGACTATGTGGCTATCTTGTAACAAACAAAAAAAAAGCAGCTAAAATTATTTTTAGTCAGTGTTGAAACAACTAGGCCTATGTATAAAACAATGGTTAATAAGTCAAAGTACATGTGGCTTTTGAGTGCCCACTGTTGCTGTACTTAATATCGTTTTATTATCCTGTCATGTTACATAAAACAAGGAAGTTTATTATATAAAATATCTCATTACCATATCCTGTATTTGGACTCACTCGAATTTGAGGATTTTTTGCTAACCTCTACCCTAAATGAACAAAATTAAATAATAAGCATTTAGAGTTCATATTTGGTCCAAACATCAATCATAGTAAACCAAATTTTTTGAGGTCAAAGGTCACCTAATTTGCATATTAATAGCCTTTTAGACAAAAAAAAAGTATATAAAAGATCTGACAATTTTTCTCCTGGGTTTTCATTTAAAAAAAATTCTTTTCACATATATAAATATATGATACAGAATTATGGTAGCACAGAGAAAATTACAAATACTATCATAGCTTATGAAATATAATTTTTTAATAAAAATATTTTTTTTCTCCTCAAAAAATCGCATATTTGTTCTAAATTTCTAAAAACTGGTACACATTTTCCCAAAAGTGGCCATGCTACCCAAATTATATACATAATAGCAAACTACAGTGAAAGTTTTACTCTATTTGGTCAAGGCATTAGGAAGTTATGAGGTCAGAAAGTCAAAATTTTATGAAACTGAGAAATTCAAGGTCAAAGTTTGTATATAATATACTTTATTGTAATTATTGAATATTTTAAATTTCATTTTTCTAATGATTAAAAAAATATCATTCTGAAAGTTTGCCAGGTAGTTAGTATAATAGGTAAAGTTACCAAATCCATCGAAATCTCAATTTTGGGGGATTTTGCCAAAATTAACAAATTAGGGGGTAGAGGTTAGCCTTCTCTTTTCAATAATACTTCTCATAGCTTATTTCTCTTTGTTAGTCTTTTTTTTATCGAAAGGGGAAATGATCATTTATTCATCTAAGTTAACAAAGGCAGATTCTCTTCCCTCCAAAATACTTTCACTTAGTGTTATACCAGTGGTGAAGCAAGAATTTTGCCAGACAGGCCGGGGTCCAAGGTCCCCGGGAGTGAGGCCGGTGTCCCCGACAAAAAAAGTGGGTGTGGTTGGACATCGCTCAAAGTATATCAAAAGTGTTCCAGGGGGCGAAGCCCCCTAAAAATATGACAATTCAGGGGTTTTAAAGGCTTATTTAATCGATTTTGGAGTCTACAAATATGTAAAAAATACATATAAATTTTATTTCTCAACAACGATTTATGGTTTTTCTCGCTGACAAGGGAGTCATGGCCCCCGGCCTCCACACTAGCGCCACCTCTGGTTCATACCTATTCTACCAGATCCAGTTCTGCAGGGAACTTAATCTGGTAGAAGATTTATTTTTAGGGGTACTCAAATTTGGAACATGGGAGTAGGTAATTCTTTTTCATCATTCTTGTAAATTTTAATGTTTTTTTATATTTCTGGGGCAGATGCAGGGGGGCGCAGAGGATGCGATCGCACCCCCCTAAAATGTATGAAGAAAAATAATTGTTGTATTATATTGTTGAATTATTGGTAAGATTTTTAAGGTACATGAGAGTGCAATTTCCGGGCACCCAGAGGTCCATATTCTCAAAAGGGATGCGTTGGTCCCCTCACTTTTCGTGAATGAAAGATATGCCTGAAAATTGTTGACATAAATGCAAAAATGACCCAGGTTTTAATGAAAGAGCGCTGTACAGCCGGAGTACATCGTATTTTATAGTAAGATGCTGGTATCTCTGCCCACAAACATCTGAATTACCTATAATACTCGACTCGAGTGTGCGTGCCTTCATTATAATTTGAAAACTATGAGAAAAAGCGTGCAAACATAAAGTAGTATTTTCTATGTTACATCACAGCGATTAATTAGATCGATGATGATGAATTTTACTATAAGACTGTCATGTCTGGCAATCTAGAGGTACAAATTTTATCTCACTCCCAACTGTGATGGAGCTGAGAGACGTGTGATTCACAGTTTTGAAGTAAGTAAAGTAAATACATCAAAGACAATGTTTTTAAGTTTTATATTCTATGGTAATGAACATCAAACATACTAATTAGATCTCTATGGTTGCCAAAAATAACTAAAAGATCATGAGAATTTGTTGGCGCTTCATTTTGAATACAAAATTTAAAAAGTCTCATTTCCTGCCATCTTGAGGTACTATTTCCTCAAATTTTCTCGCCTCAGCCCCAACCATGGTGGGGCTGAGGGGAATGATGCCACACGGCTTTGGGGTAGGTCGAGTATATTACGGTCGGCAACATTTTACTTTTAAGGCGAGATTTTTTTTTATTCCTTGTTTCGTGTACTTATTAAATTATTATAAAATTGTGTTTTCTTATTTAGCAAATAATTTTGCCAAATACATTTAGATGGAGAAAATTAAAAGAAAATGTTATTGGTGAATGTAAAATAGGATGGTTAAATGCTTCAAATTTATATAATCAGGAAGAAATATACATATCTTACCTTTTAGAGATTTCAAGGCAGTGGGAAGGCGTAATAAAAATTAAGAAATAAATTTTATTTTTTTCTGGAATTTCCACTTTTTTGTGGCAGTCAATGCGCTAAATGGCCAACAATAAAATTTTATTTTTATTCGAATCATCAATATTTGCAGTCGGCGTGTTGCTAAACAAGGTATAAACAAAGTCTCGCCTAAGGACACATAATTTTGTACCATAACTTCCTAACATGGAAATATCTTTCAAGATACAAATGCGACCAATGTAATACAGTATAGCTATTAAGCTACTTTCTCTCTGATTAACCTTGCATCATGAAATAACATTAGGAAAATAATACAAATATTGTAGTCATATTATAAATGAATTTTGCATTGCAAATTATGGCTATAAATTAGTTTTGCCTAAGGTAGTGTTGCCTCAATCGACCCACTTTCGGCCCCCTTTTTGGACATCTCTGGATCCGCCCCTGTATAAAATACTGTGCAACGAGAATGAAAATTCAGAAACGCAAAATGTTTAATTTAGAAACACAAAACTTTATTGCAATGGATATTTTGACTACTCCTGTAGTCTATGTCAATGCCAGTGGTAGCTCTAGGATACATTTCTTGCGGGGAGGGGGGGTGGTGGTAAGCTGATGGAAAGGGGGGAGGGCTTTAGCTTACATGCCTGTGGAAGGGACGGGTTTGTGTCTCCTCCCAAATGCGATTTTTTTTAAAATAGGGAGCTCTGGATGGCCGGAAATGACACTCTACGACTGAGAAAGAATGTTTTAGCTTGGTGTAGGCCAGTTTTGACATTTCTTTTTGGTCCAACTGCCAGACGAGCTCGGCCAGTTGGGGGCTTGACTTGTCCAATGGGGCTCTAAACTTAACTGACCAGTTCTGATTGGTCTCAATCTGAAGCAACCCATTCTCTTATAATTTGTTTTCATAAGAAGTATCTAAAATAAAGTTTAATAAATGCAATGATTTTATTTTCAATATATACATTTTTTTAAATTTAATTAATAATCTAAAACTGAAACTAAACAATCTGTAAATAGCTTGTATTTATCGAAAATTGTGTTTCTGCCAAGACAATTGTTGGCCGGCCTAGCCCATTGTTGTGTCTAGGCCTATAGGCCATTTTTACCATTGTGAATTTCATATACATTATGAATATAGCTACTGTATAATGACACATATCACAATTGTTGAAAAACAGCTTGATCAGCATTATCCAATAGGTCTACAGCATGTCAACTTGTGCGTAACGCATACTCTTACAGTAGAACCCCTCCTGTGGGACACCGCTATTAAGGGGAAACCCTATTAAAGGGGACAGGCTATGAAAGGGACTCTATTTTTCAGTCCTAAAGGCATCTACTTAGTAGGGGTTCTGCTGTCTTAATTTCCCCATAGTAGCAATTAATAAATACAATTGTTTTTATTAAATATACACTTTATTTGATCCTTTCAGGTATATGAAACATGTTATTGAGTGACAAAAGATTACAAGCACAAGTAAAAGGAAACTATGTATGTACATTATATGTGTATGTATCATATGGAATGATTTGATCTACCCGGTAGAATTGCTACGCCTCGTTTCGTAGGCCTACATGCCAACAAATCAAAGATTTGAATCAATGATTGATAAAAGCTGTTTGCCCTCAAAAACAGCACCAGAAGTCAGGGTCAAAGGTGAAGAGACATGGCCTGGCTCAACACAAAGCATATTCAGGTACTCTTCATCTCCAAAGTCAGACATCCCCTTGGCTTTGTCAATCCAAGGGTTCCAAACCACTGCAATGAAAAGAGGAAACAACCAGAGTAAAATCAATGCTTGCATGAGCTACCATTCTTGTGAAGGGTAGTGACACATGAAGGGGCAATATTTAAAAAATTAAATAGCTCATAGTGCTGTGCAGCATCTCTGATTCACTATGTAATTACATATTTACAAAGTATAATTTTAGGGATCCTGCCACATTGTTTTAAATAGAAGATGGTGAATCACATTAATAATAATAATAATAATAGTCTAACAGCGCTCAAAGACCAACAATCTATTGAGTTTTGAAAAGTGACTTAAATTGCGTAAAGGACTTAGACTGATAGATGTGAAATGGAAGCCGATTCCAGATCAATGGTGCTTGTGCAAAGAAACCTATTGGATCCGATGTTAGGTGGGTTTTTGGAATGGATAACGTGGGTCCATTTCGGAACGAAGTCCTGGGCGTTAAGGAACATGAATTTATATAATGCTTTGTAAATATGTAGGAGCAGAGCCATGAATACATTTATAGATTATGGTTGATATTTTGTAGATGATACATTGTTGTATTTGAAGCCAGTGAAGTTTTGAAGGTTGTAGTTAATTTTATCTCACATGTTGAATTACAGCAGGAGTCCCGGGTTCCACATGTGAATACTTTTTTTTTCTCACGCAGATCCAAACATTTACAGTTATATAATAATATGACATATATATAGTGCATATCGCGATAAATACCTCTATGTACTTTAAATTATTACTCCAAGATCAAACACCTATGGAACACATCCTCAGCCCCCTGGGGGCACACAATTCCATGAGTGGCTAGAATCAGCACTTGGTATTAGATTCTACTATGTACCCATTTATACTCCTGGGCCATGGAGATGAACAAACGTAAGATAAAGTGCCTTGCTCAAGGACACAAGCGATGTGGATGGTTTAAACCCCCTGACTGAGCCACAACCATTGTGCCAACCACTTCTACAGATTACAGACAGAATAAATGCGAGATTAGTGTTCATTTCTTTAAATTTATTATGTATCCGTATCAATTTCTGCGTCTATATTTCCATTTGCCTCACAACTGCATCTCCCAGATATACAAGTATCAATGCAAATGAATAAGCATCATTTAAAGTCGACTATATATATA